TTGTCGGCTTTGTACACAACCTCATATGGTGTCCACTCTCGCCACAATTGTAGCATATCTTATTTATGGTGTTAGAGGGAGCATTATTCCTCCTAACAGATGGAGTATGTGGGTTGGGATTGGTGAAGGGTTTAGTTGGAACAGGGGTTGATTTCATCCTGTCAAGTTCTTCCCTAAGGACTTCGACCTCATGGCTAAGAGCATCATAGTTATGTGTCGTGGCCGCAGTAATGGCCTTAGAATTGGATAGAGTCGTTGTTTGGGTATTACGCTTCTCAGCCCTGGCCCTACTGTTTATCTCCTCATTCCTAACTTCTTTTATTAGGGTTAAATACGAAGGGGGATTTGGTTTTCTATGTTTTAGGTTAAGTGTAGAGCATAGTAGCTCATCATGAATTAGGCCCCTGATGAATTGGGCCAGCCTCAAATTGTCAGCCTGGGCTACGCCTACTGCCCCTACATTATTTGCCCTAGTAAGATTCTCATCTAAGCGCATTAGAAACTTTGAAGGTAATTCTCCCTTAGTTTGGTACGTTTCTCTAAATAGTGTGTAGAGGTCGTCAGCATCTACAACCAGACCATATACCTGATTTAGGACATCATGGCATTCTGTAGCTCTACTTTCCGCAGCCACTTTATTAAGGATATTAAGGGCAGGTGGAAAAAGACTTTGAATTAAAATACTCTTTTTGTCAGCCTCAGACAGACTACTATCCCTAATTAGTTGCTGGACTAACTGTGACCATGTCTCGAAATCTATTTCATTGGTGGGGATTGGGACCCTTCCTGAAAATTGCCTGAGACGGCGGACACCTGCCTGCCGGGTGGGGGTGTTGTCAACAAGGTGTTTAATGACAACCTCCTTAGTATCTTTGGGGATTGAGTCCAGTTTTATGACATTAAGGGTCTTCCCATGGCCCTGTAAGAATTTGCTTAACTGGGTTTCAAAGTCATCTATAGGTTTAGGATCCTTCCCTTCCCATTTAACTAAGGACCATGTTTCTAAATCGGACCGTTTAATGACTAAAGGAAGGTCTAGATCTGCCACAGGTTTCGAAAAAGTGATAAGTAATTGGAATGTTGTTTCAGTCTCATCCAGCTTTTCTACAACCTCAGCCTCATCAAACTCCCCTAATGCATTTGGAACTTAATTATCTGAATATGTGACCTTAGCTATACTTCTTAATGCTATAGCATACATAGGGTCAACTTTATGTTTAGTACACCACTCCAAGATGTCCATGT